GCCGGGCGGCCCGGGGACCAGCCTAGGTCTTTTGTGCATTGAATCCGAACACGCTAAAACGCGCAGCTATGAACTTGTATTCGAACATGAGTGGTGCGCCGGCCGCCAACACGCTGAAAAGGGCTGCTATGAACAGCGCGAGTGGAAGCGAAGCGCCACCGCAGAAGATACAAACCAAAACAGCCCACCAACCAACTGCACGTGATGCCAGAAGACGCCTAAAAAAAAAATATAATAAAAAAAAAAATCTGCAGTTATGTACTTGTATACGAACGCGCACCTGGATATTTGCGCCTCCGCCAGCCCGTACGGCCCGCACAACGCTCCGGGCCCAACAGGGAATGACGTTTTCCCAACACTGGCAGCCGGCCCTCCTGGCTTACACTTTAATGAGAGTGTAGATATAGATAAATATTCAGTATTGTTTTTGCACTCCACTTAAGCCTTAGGAGACGGGCAATAACAACAGGTCCCGGGATTGAATTACGGCAGGCCAGGCCAGGCCAGGCCAGGAAGGTGACATGATATCCTTTCATACATGTCTTTTAGAAATAAGGATTGGTTTTGCACTCCCGTCAAACCTTAGGAGTAGTGGTAGGTAGGTAGGTAGTGAGCGTGAATTGAAAGAATTTGAAAGCTGATGAAAGATTTGAGAGAAGAACGTAGCGTAGTTTTGTTTTTGTTTTTTTTTTAAGGAAAAAAAAAGGCTATGTAAATATCTGAAAACATGCTGAGGAAACCTCAGGAAGTTTTTTTTTTTTTTTTTTTTTTTTTTTTTTTAAATTTTTTTTTATTATTTATACAAAACCGGGAAGCGGGCCCACCGTCCCTTACCAAGTACAGCAGCCTGGGTTCCGCAAGCGGCATTAGCTAAAATGGTTCTAGAACCCGAATGGGAAGGGAAGCCCGTTTTGAACCTCACTCTTATGGACTTAGGCCAGGACGTAGTTGTCAAGATGCCATGGAAGCTCTGGCTAGAGCCATTAGAGCCAAATATGTGTTTGATATGTGTTTGACGCCGACATTGCGAAAAATCACGCCAGCTTTCACCAATCACGTCCTCTTGAAAACTCCTTTTCAAGAGTACAGAGTACAGTTGCTGCCCTGCGTGGCCACACAGACTCAGAGTCTCTTGAAGCTTGGGCCGGCCTTTAGAGAGCTGTCAGAGTCAGACGGGCTCAGAGTGGCAGCCTCTCTTGAAAGTTGAAACCCTTTTTTCAAGAGCGGCTGCTCTTGAAAGATTCAAAACCCCAGCCTGGCTGCCTGCAACTCGTGCTTTTTCAAGTGCGTCCTTGGCCGAGCCCTTGAGGGTCAACGAGGGACGATCGATTTTTTTTCTGAAATCAAGAGTTGCCAGGCCATTAACCTGGCTGACGCCCATTCGAAAAGAGACAAGAAAAGCAGTAGGATACTAGGACATCTCTAGCGTATTATCTCCATCAACCTGAAATGTTCCTGAATCATCCCAAATTTTCATCAATCATCAATGTATTCCAATTATAAGGGACGCTGGGCCCCCCGTTCCCAGCACGTGCTGCTCCCCACGAATAGATTGGAGCAATATTAAAAAAAAAAAAAAAAAAAAGGACTGTCATTTTGCATCCCTCTTTTTTTTTTTTTTTTTTTTTTTGGGTCGCTGACCCCGCGCCGTTCACGGCCCTAACTCCCCGGAAAAATCGACTTTAGGCTGCGGGGGGCAGTGGTGGTTTAAGCACCAACCATAGCCCTTTCAAGAGTGCTTGCTGTGTGGGGAGGGGCGGAAAACTCTCCTCGACTGCTGGAAACGAAACTCTTGAAAGCGTCTGATGTGAGGAGGCCCTAACCCACCACCGTGACCCATCCTACAACCAAACAGGTAGCCAAAGAAAACAAACAGCTACGCAGCAGAATCTCTCAAATCGTTTAGGTTCCCTGGATGGTGCCGCGCACAATGGGACCTCAACATGCACCTGGACGGGAAAATCTGCATGGCCTCCCGGCTTGGAAAAATCACCATTTTGGGACAGAAAAATCTGGATCACATGGTCACTTAAACCAGCAGTACTTTGTCCAGCCGTTTCCTACGATGCCGTGCGTGCACTGCCGCATCTGGTGGGATGTACCAGCCTGCCGGTTTGGCCGAAATTCATCCAGGCAGGCAGAAGGAGTTGTGTGCACACTGCACAGCCTGTTCTGCCTGACAGCCTGGGGCAAGGCCCCACTTGCGCAAATTAGGAGATTTGGGCCGTTGATCTTTGCTATCTATGGTCAGTATCGCTTAATTCGTGCAAGTGGGACCTAGCCCCTGAATGTTTTCCAAGCGAAATGGCAGGCCTGTGCATGTGCATCCCGCCGAGACCCACGGCTCGAGCACTGCCGCGTCGTGCAAAACTTGGCTGTGACGAAGTACTTATTTGTGGGTTTATTCAGACTTGCGTGCGACCTGTGAAGTTGAAATGGCATTGGCTGGAGGAACCTGGCCAAGTGCTCTGGCGAGGTCCCCCTGATGCAGCAGGGACCCTCGCAAGACTTCCTGGCCAGGTTCCCCTCAGGCTCCCCTAAGATACCATTCGGCGAATCTGGCCAACGGTCCTTCCCTCCCCCCCCAAAAAAAAAAAAAAAAAAAGGTCCTTCCCCAAGTGACGAACTGCCTAGATTGTTTTTTTTTTCCCCTTCTTACTGCTACCATCTCCATTGCCCATGCATAGACTTGTTGCTTAGGGGCCTCTCTCCAGGCCTCAACATTTGACACGTATATGCCGCAGAAGTACTCGTGGTTTAAACCTTGGCTTAGTTATCAGGCCCGGAAAAAAGTAGAGTAGAAACGTTTCTAGTCGGATGAATTTGGGCGCTCCGGTAGTGGCCCGTACATTCTTAAAATTGTGGCTTGTTAACGGGCGCAACTTTAGGAAGTACTGGTGGTTTAACTCTCCTTTCTGTGTTCATTTTTTCATGATTTTTTTATTATTATTATTATATTATTATTTTTACATCACCATGTGGTTAACGTGGAGTCAAGTACACTGACATTCGCAGGTGGCCAAACACTCCGAAATACGTAATGTCGTTCCTTTCAAAAAAGGAGGAGGGGGGGAGCGGAATCATGCGCTTGGGGGCCTGCTTAACAGGGTGATACGAGCCTCCGGGTATTGAAGGCTCGATCTATTGTCCTTTTTTTTTTTTTTTTTTTTTTTAACAACCCAATCAGGTGCTAGATGTGCTGATAAGAGCAGACACCTCTAGCACCGGCGGCGAGGCTCCATCTATTGGTGGGAAGCGTCACCTGCTGGGAACCGGGCCCAGCTTCCCATTGGATACATCATTGTGTCACCATGTTTATTGGGCTTATGGCCTTTACAGTTCTTGCACCGGAGCATCCTACTTTCCCTCTGGGCTGCATATGTTACCCTTCCAATTTGCTGAGCTCCTGCTACCCTGTGGCCTAGCCTCACCCAGGATGGTGTCCACCGTGCTTTGATATCTACAGTCCTCTTACTACCAGTGGCAGAACTCCTATCCTCGGTGATTGCGACCCCCCTTCTGTTCGCACAACAGTTCTAATTACCCCCCATTACCCAGCTGTAGATTATGCTATGCTTCATACCTACCTGAAGGATGTTTCAGACCTGTAATCCCATGGAAGCCGCTGATGTGTGTTTCTAGTTGCCCCCCATTAGTCATTACTCAGCTGTACTCCAAGGTTCAACGGCTCTGTAGCACACCTGGCAACTGGTCTTGTCCTTGTTTTGTCGAAGAGGAGGGTGAGGGTCGTGGCTGCTGCTCCTGTGGAGCACCCCCGTCCTTTCCTGGTATTGATGTGTTGTCATTTGCTGTCATGTGCTTGGTCCTGTTCTGTGGAGACCCTGGGGAGTCGCTGACTTCACTCCTGCTCTCTACATTTCCCCGTTCCTCTTCTCCATTGCTGTATCTTGTGTGACATCTGCTATCTGATGACTGCAAACTGTCGCCCTGAACTGCCGTCCTCAGTCTCACTTTTCCCAGAATGTAAGGAATAAGGTGTCGAAGGGAGGGGAGATGGGGGAGGCAGGAGGAGGGATGGGAGTTGGGGGGGGGCGGGAGGGGGCTTCTGAGGGAGGGTGGAGTGGGCTGGGAAGATGGGGACTGAGCTTCAGCCCAGGAGGTGCGCCTGTCGGGGCCCAAGCAGGGGGCGATCCCAGGATTGTCATGCCACCAACATGAAGTTAGGTTGCAGGTAGGGGACCTGGAAACTATGGTAGGGTCTCAATGCCAAGATGACTCTGAGCTTCGCCAGTGTTTCCACCGGATGTTGAGGTTGGCGTCCAGATCAGAGAATCTTCTGTGCGGGTCCTGCCAAGTCTGGAGGTAGGCTTCCTTAAGGATTGCTTTGACCGTGTGATCAGTTTCCTCCCGATAACTCCATATGAACTTTTTCCAAGCAGCTTGGGTGTGGGATCTGATGTCCTCTTCTATCACTTGTTGGGCTTGTATCAACCCAAACTGATGGTCTTTTCTTTCAAATTTTGTCACTACGCTTGCCATTTAAAAAAAAAAAAAAAAAAAAAAAAAAAAAAAACTCCTTAAGAAAAAGGATTCCTCGTTGCGAATCTGTGGCAAAGCTACGGACATGTCAAGCTCGTAAACACGCACATTCCCGACCGTGACGCAGGTCGCCTGGCTGCGCTTCAGGACTTGTCAAGGGGCATACCGCACTTCCACCACATCCACCTCACCGTCCGCTGGCGCAAGAGACACAACTTCAGAAAGCGTGCTCACAGCACTTCTTTATCCTTACAGGCATGGCATAGATTGCTTCTTAGGCCTTTTTTTTTTTTTTTTTTTTTTTTTTTTCAAACAAAGCTCCGATCTATTCATGGGGAGCAGCACGTGCTGGGAACCGAACCGGGCCCAGCATGGTTCTTAGGCCCATTCTTTATTCCTTATTTGGGCCTGTCAAGTGAATTGCAAAGCTGTAGTCCATACTGGCCGTACATGGCCGTGGCAGTGGTCTTTCGAATGGTAATGGTGGGGACAATATGCAGGTAGGAGGAGAATGTGGTCGTCAGAAATCCATGGTGGTGGGATTCCCCATAAAAGAAGTGATCCTATGGAGATGAAGTTGAACTTAGGAGAATGATCCTCACAAAAAAAAGATTGGAGACGGAAGGGGAAGAAAGGAGGGGAAGCACTGAGACGGTTCCTCGAGACATGGACAAAAAAACACGTCAAATGGGCGTGTGACCGTAAAAGAGGAAACGAGGGGGGGGGGGGGAGAAGGGGTGACTAGGGCGCAGTCACGATTTCTGTTTTAAAATCTAAATCCAGTTCAGGCATCCGTCGAAGACAACACATCCTCACCCGACCCTAACGCTGGGTTGTATACATTCACGATTTTCCTCCGTTGTGTCACACAACGTTTGCGAAATAGTGACTGAAAAACGCATATTCCAAACTGAAACTGTAGCAGCGTCGTAGTCGTTTTCTGAACGAAACGCGAAGGTTGAACAGGACCCTGCAGATTGCCAGGTTGTTGACCATATGGAGACCCCCTCTGAACCGAGAAGAGGGAGACAGTCGTGAGCAAGCACACAGTTGTTATGCAATGCATGGTGGTGGTGACGACGACGACGACGACCGACACAGGTGAACAAGTAGAGTATACTAAGGCGCTTGAGATAACCATGTTGAAGGAACTCGGCAAAACGACGACGAAGGTGATGGTGTTGATGATGATGGCAATCATTGTCATGATCATTATAAATCGGAATGATTCCTCCGCGATACTAAAGCTGATGATCATCACGGTCTCAATTTTTTCGCTTTTTTTTATGAAAAGGGTTACATTCTTGAGATATATCGGTGCGAGGCTCAAGGCCTCGATGAGCCCTACTGGGCCCTGTTTTCAGCAATATCGGCCGCCCTAAGTGAAGGCAGGCCTGACAGGGGACGAGAGGCCTATTTTGGGCTTTCCACGCAACTAGGAAATTCAGGCAGTTGCGCAGCGGCAGTTGGTTGAGAGAGCCCAGGCCCTGCCTGCCGTTTTCCAAATGTATCTGAGGCAGGCCCTGGGCTAGACACGGGGGGCATGGACTGCACACAGGCCGCTGGCAGTTGGACACGGGTAAACACCCCAGGCCCTGTGCCTGATTCCCTTTGACCGGGGCTCAGTCACTTGGGGCCTACCGGAAGCTTCTGGGAGAGGGGCCCAGCGCAGCCAGGCAGCACGCAGCAGGAAGGCCACTTCCATATATTAGGAACGTGCCTGCCTCCGCATTCGGCATTC